AAAAAAAAAAAAAAAAAAAAAAAAAAAAAAAAAAAAAAGAATACGTTGTCCTATTTCCTCCGTTATATCCTGTTCCTTGAGGACAGGGACTACACTTAGCATTATGCTTTTTAGTAGAGTTCTGCAATAAATTTGTTAATTCATTAAGCAAACATATATTAAAAATCTGTGGTTAGTTTTCTGCCTTTTCTCTTTCAATAAATGTTTGCTGAATCATACAAAACTCATCGATGGTAGCTCTCCTTCTAGATTCCCACTGCTCTAATACAATCAGCATTTTGCTGCCAAAGTAATTGCCCACATTTACTGCTTTAGTCCTTTCATTGTTCTACACTAAAACTGTCAGTCCTTCCTTGTTACTAACTACAGTAAATAAACTGCTTCAGCCTCGTTTTCTAGGCTCTATATTAACTTCTCCAAATATTTACAGAGCATCTCTAAGTGTCAGGTACTGTGCCAGGTGCTGGGGATATGTAAGAGAAGAATTGGGGTCAGAGAGCATATGGTCTCCTGTGAGACAGCACGGGAAGTGCACCGAGAGAGGGGTGTGGGGGCTGGGGTCTGAGGAAGAAAGAGGACCTAATCCAGCCTGGGGGGCAGGGTGGAGGGGTGTGGGGAGAGGAAGACAGCAAAGGCTTCCTTGAGAGAATTAATGTCTGGTTTTATCTTTAAAGATGAATAGGAGTTGGCTAGGCTGTGTGTGTGTGTGAGAGTGTGTGCGTGTAGGGTACACACACACGTGAGGGCATGTGTATGTAGGTGTGTGCACGTGCTGGCACTGGTGCAGAGCAGACAGGCAATTTGCAAGTGAGGGATCAGCATGAGCGGTGAAATGCTGTATTGTGGTGACATACTGTGTGCAGAGTGAGGGAAACCATACGGAGACTGGGTTATGGAAGTCCACACCCACGGTAAGGAGCTCGGACCTGATCTTTTAGGTTTGTGGATGTGAAATTGTGCTTGCTAGAGTTCTAGGTCTTCTGTGGATTCTTTGGAAAGGGGAAAAGAAGAGCTGTGGACCTGAAAATTTTAAGGTGAGGAAGAAAATGGTGAGAGTTGTGTTTTATGTCAACCTCGTGGGCAGCTCTTCTGTGTAGGGTAGATTTGGTAGTCAAGTCTGACAGCAGGAAGGTCTGTAAGGAGGCAGTGAAAGGTAGAAAGACTGAGACAGAGACAATACTTATAAGGTGAAATTGACTGGGTTTGGCCATGGAAAATGGACAGGGGATGAGGGAGGAAGAAATGGGGGAGACAAAGGCAACCCACAAGTTTCTGGCTTAGGAGGAAGAGGCTAGGTTTATGGGGGGAGGAGGATGGGCCCGTTTCAGACAGGGTACATTGGAGGTTTGCTCTGGCTCCTGTTCCTTTCCTATCCACAGGTCTTCCCCATGACTTCACAACCAGAATCCACTGTACAGGTCACAGCTCTGTTTCTGCCCAGGCCTCTGTAGACGGTGCTCATGCCGTGATGGGGCTTGTGGTTCCCTCTGATGCTCCATCTGTGCAAATCCTATTTGCCCCCCCGGACCCTGCTCCATCTCTCCTCTCTCCCACCCTACATAGCCTATGTTATCTCAGCCGTCACTGATGATGCTCCTCTTTGCTCCTTCAGTACTAAAGATGTTCATCCATTGATTTAATGCTAATTACAGACTATTTTATATCATTTGGTTTTTTTTTCAAGTGTATTCATCTTTTTTCTCTAAGGAAGTGGTAAATTCCTAAATGATAGGGACTTCATAGTACTCTCTCCGTAACACCTAGCTTAGTGCTAAGAATACTACTTATTGCTCAATGAATACGTAGAATAGCAAACTTGACTGTGTATAGGAATCATTTCAGGAGTGTATTAAAATGCAGATGTTTGGCCTGTGGGTGGTTCTAATACAGGTGGCTTTTAGACAATACTTAGAGAAACACTGGAGGTCGACTAACCTAATTCTGTCACTCTATCAGGAGGATACTAGAACTTGGAGAGTGAGCAACTTGCTGGTGTCTTAAGTTGTTTAATAGCAGACCCAGGACTGGACCCAGGTCCCAGTTTCTCGGCCTAATGCTTTCCCCACCACCAAACACATTTGCTTCCACCTTATTCAAAGGTGTCTTTCTAAAAGCTGAAATCTTCTTTAAGAGAATAAGGCAAAATCTCATTTCACCTTTTAAACATTACTAGAAGGAACGAGAGAGATGTTGGTTGCTTTATCAGACCATTTTCTGTCACTGATAACAAAATACCTAAAACTGGGTAATTTACAAAGGAACAGAGTTTATTTCTTACGGTGTTGGAGGCTGGGAAGTCCAAGGTCCAGGGAACTCATCTGGTGAGGGCCTTCTTTGTGTGGACTCTGTGCAGAGGCCTGAGGCAGTGCATGGCTTCACAGGGTGAGGGCTAAGAGCACGTTTCCACATGCTTTCTTCCTCTCCTTATAAAGCTCCTACTGTACTCCCTGAGAACCCATTAGTCCATGAATGGATTAGTCCATTCATAAGGGCATAGTCCTCATAATCCAATCACCTCTTATAGGCCACACCTTTCAAATACCATACTGGATTAAGTTCCCCATGAGCTTTAGAGAGGACAAACATGCAGACCACAGCAGATGCCCTCTTTATCCTCCAGGAGTTTCCAATCGTAGGTATTAGGAGGAAGAATCACTTCTTTACCCTGATGTAAGAGAATCCTAGAGGGAGAATTGTAGGCAGTGGGTTGATTGATGAGATTCCATTAGTAGCATTTCTCCTGTCAAGGAAAACATCTGGGTGAAGATGAACTAAGCCTAATTTTGTACAACTTATGTTTTCATGTTTCTTGTAAAGCATGTCAGTAATGAAAAAGGAAATATGATTCCTTTTCAGCAGTGCCTAAATATAAACGTTTATTTAAGTGTATGTTGGTAGTTTAGATAGTAAATAGACTTGTTGAGTTTCCCTTGGCATCATAAAATGTTAAAGAGAGAAATGGTGAAAGTCTTTTCAAGCCACCCTCTTTTCTGTATTCACTGGTTTTTTTTTTTTTTAAAGAAATATTGTAATTCAGTGGTGGTGTTCTGGCCATGGTAGGCCATAAATCTGTTAGCAGACCTGAAATGACTCCATTGAAAAACGTGGGCTAAATGTAAGGTCCTTATATTTGAGCTGAAGAGGTGGAAGGATTCTCTCTCTTTGGCCTTTCCCATTTCTGTCAATTCTAAGCACCATACACAAAATGATATACTAGGGTTTCCCACCTGTAGATCACATCACTCTTTTCTTACTAGCAATGGCCATTTTAATGTTTTTTTTTTTTTTTTTTTAAATAGTGTTAAAGAAATTGGGGGAATGCTGTTGAAACACTGTATCTGGATTTCAGCAGGATTTTCGACAAAGTCTCTTGTAAATTCCTTGAGGGCAATGTAGAGAAAAGTTAGTTGGATGTTACTATTAGGAGTGTTTGTAGGTGCTTTTGAAAAACCTCACCGAGTGTTTGTTAATGATTTATTGTTATCTGTGGGGAGGTCTCCATGCCATGAGGTAGGATCTGCCCTTGGAACCCACCGTTCAGTTTTTTCCATCAGTGATAGAATGAAAACTACAAGGATGTGGATGTTTATTCAGTAGAAGGGTAATGTTTGATTAATTCTGTCAAAAATTGAAACTGTCTTCCATGCAAAATAGTGTGCCTATAACTAGTAGTGGTTAATTAGCACCTTTGTGACCATCTTTTGGAGATGCTCTAGAAAGCTTGTGCTTGGGAGGGAGGTTGAACTAAATTATGTTTGAATTCCTTCCTAGCCCTAAGGTTCTGTTACTGTACCACATTTTGGCTCTGAGATGATTAGTATCCAGATTTCCTGGAATCTGTTGTAAATCTCCAATTTGTAAAGTTGGGAGCCTAGAGGTTTTCAGATACCCTGAGTGCTGGGATGTGCTGGGGTGTTTACGCCCATGGGAGAAGCGTGGCTATAGACGTGAGCCCCTCAAACGCCTGAGTGAACATAGGTGAAGAGGTGCTATAAACATGTCTGTTTCAAGAACACTGATTGCTTCTTTGAAAGTCTAATGGAAAGTAAATGATAAAGGAAGACCCGAAATAGAAAATGAAAGCTCCATGGAGCCAGTTTTCTTTTTGGTCAAGTGTTTGTAGCTGAGTGGCCCCTGAGAGAGCTTGCTGAGAGAGACCATCTGCCCCGGGGCAGGACGGGGTGAAGGCCGGGCACGATATACTTTCCACCCCTCTCATAAAATTCCATCACCTGGGCCGGCCCGGTGGCGCACTGCTACAGTGCGCCGCTTGGAGAGTGCGGTGGCGCTCCCGCCGAGGGTTCGGATCCCACATACAGACCGGTTCCCACTCACTGGCTGAGCGAGGTGTGGGCGCAACACCGAGGGTTGCGGTCCCCTTGCCGGTCCCGGTCCGGTGCGGGTGCGACACTGAGGGTTGTGATCCGTTGCCGGGCGCGAAAAAAAGGCAAAAAGGAAAAAAAAAAAAATCCATCACCAGGCAGGACAAAGGAACTTTCTAATACTTTGTTACAAAATCCGCAAAAATAAAACAATAGAGAATCTTCAGCTAGTGAGACATATTAGGTTTGGAGTGGGGACGGTGACTACTTAAGATGGTGCCACCCAAAGATACTCAACATGGCGGTTCTACCCTCAGGGAATTCCCGTGAAATAAAAAGGAACTCATAACTACAACAGAACTCCATGCCATTGGTCCCCTCTGAAACCCTACTTTACATACTAAGGGAACCAATAACTGTAAACCTCAAAATCACCTAATTAACATAAGGCCCTAGCAGCTCCCATTGGACAGTTTAACTTTCACCTCATTAGCCTAAGCCCCAGCCAATTGGAACAACACAACTCACCCCAAGAAGAAATATAAGGCCAACCCGGGGTAGGGGGTGAGGTGGGGCCAAGTTCTGTATCTACGCCTCTGCCCCGCTGCATGTGCCAATAAACTCCTGGCCTTATTTCTCGTCTTGGTACCAATTCTTTCCTTACCTTTCAAGACATCTTATTTCACTTATAAGGAATTTTGGAATTCCTAGCATTAATAATATCATTTAAAATTGAATCCAAATGGTATTGGTTTCTTAAATGTCTGAACCAAGTTTCTTGTTAGGGAAGAAAATCACATGAGTGAGGGCAGGTTGACTCTTGGCCCCACTGTGGGTCACTTTGGTGTGTGATGGACAGATTCAGTTACGCTGGGGCTGCTCCTCCTGAAGCCCGAGGGGAGGTGCCCTGCTGAAGATCTAAAGTTAGGGTGCTGAGGAGAGGATTTCACATCTCCCCCTTTTCCTCAAAAGGGGATGTGGAGCTAAGACATGGTCGTAAGAGCAAGGAGGGAAGAATTCTGCAGTGCCAGTGAGGCAGCTGTTGGATACTTTTGTGAGGTCAAAGAACATGAGAGTTCACTCTGACTACATTATTAATAAAATTATATGAAGTATTTCAGACACACAGAATGTAGTAAGAATAATATAACAAAACCTATATACCGACCACTGAACTTAAGAAATAAAATAACATGGGTGAGTACCCTCATACCTTCTCCCTGATCTTACCACTCCTCTCCTCTCAGAGCTAACCATGATCCTGAGTGTCATGCTTCTCTTTACATTTCAGATGAGGAAAAGGAAGCCCAGAAAGGTTGGGAACTGGTCTAATCTCACACTCCAGGCTAATGGGAGCCACAAGATGCCTTCTGCTTCTTTCTGGGGAGGCACAGTTTATTGTTAGTAGATCATACTACCATTGGGTATAGCCTTTTGGTTATAATCAAGAATGTAGTGTGTGTGATAAGACAGATTAGAGATGACTTTTGTGGTCCTTACAAGCTATGAAGCTTTGCACAATAAGCATGGAGAATTGAATGGAAGGAGTTTTAGCGAACACTTATTTATTTGGAATTCTGGGCTGGCACAGTAAAGTGTAAGTGGACGCTATGAAGTTTGGGGACCTTCAGATGTGCAGGCCCTGAGAATCAAAATTGTAGGAGACCATCAAGGTGGTGGCACAGAGCTATACAGGGAAATAGCAGCACAATTAAACCCCTTCCAGATACCTCCTAAACCTTCAGAAAAACAGTCCTGCTGGAATGAAAAATACCACTTTAAAATATTTTCCTACAAAAGTGTCATCACGATATTTGATCGGCTTCCTGGGATAAATGAAAGTGTGATTAATAAACGTTTTCTAGTGAATAAGAGCCTGAAGGATTGGACCAATATGTTTGGAGCTATTAAATTTTAATAAAAATAAGAAAACAACCAGGATTACTTTCCTCTTGCTGACAGAATGATAGATAGATTTGAAATTCTGGTGTAAGTTCAGGTGCTTTTTCCCATTTTTATTTATAGGTTTTTAACAGCCTATGCTTTACACCCTGTCACTTTTTTTTCCCTTGTTTTTTTCTTTTCTTTTAAAAATAACAGCTAACAATTTTCGCCCAGAACTCATTCCTAGGTATTTGAAAAGGTGGTATCTTTGGAGAAAACTTGAAGTCAATCACAAGGTCATCCACTAGACTTAAGTGTCCAGAAGGCTGGCATTAAATGTCTATGAAAATCATCAAAGCTTTGAAAAGCAAGCACTGCATTTGAAGAAGATTTATGGGCTCTTTGTTACATAGATTATGGGGAACTGTGGATTTCTCAGTTAACGCATCTATGAAATGACAGGAGGAAGTCAGCCTGCCCTGGTTGCCCACCCGAGTACACCAGCTGGAATGCCCAGTTGCAGCAGGATTGATCTGAGAGCTCACCATTGAGTTTGTCAGTATTCATTTGTCTTTCTCTTCAGCAGATATTGAGGTGGAATTTCTCCCACCTGCTGTGTAAGGAGGAGTATCTGCCTTTTCACACTCAGCTTCATAAAACTTTAATATCTTTGCAGAATTGATGAGTTGTTTAAGGCCATTATTTTAGACTTGGTGTTTTTGCTTTTGTTTTTCAGACTGTTTATTCTATGGCTCCATTCCCTTTCCCACAATTGGCAGAGTTAAGGGAAAAATACACCTACAACATTACACCATTCCCAGTCGCAGTTAAACCCACCTCAGTTTCTGGGTAAGATTTTTTGTTTTCCTTGTTGTTTTCATTATGGAAGACTTTATACCTTCATTTGTTATTGTAAATTAGCATTTATTAAGTCCCAGAAATGTGTTCAAAGTAATTTGGTACTTAAAATCGGAATGTCTCTTTCCCAAAGATTTTTGCTTAAATTTAAGAGAGATTTTTAAAAGTGTACTTTCCAAAGAAGTTTGGAACATAAGCTCCAGAAATATTTAGCAACCCCATAACTTTTTAAAAGATATCAGATATTAAAAATCTCAGTAATTAACATAGCATAGAATTGGTGCAGAAATAGACAGATGAGGTAATTTAAAATACTGTAAAGACACCACAAAGAAATGATAAATGTTTAGGTGACAGATATGCTAACTATTCTGATTAGATAATTATACAATATATGTGTGTACCGAAACAACAAATTGTGCCCCATAAACATATACAATGAAAAAACTAAAATAAAAATTAAAATATATTGTAAAGACCAGAATGGACAAATATGAAGGTGCTTCAAAAAGTTCATGGAAAGATTCATATTATTGTTTTTTTTTTTTGGTGGCTGTCCAGTATGGGGATCTAAACTTTTGATCTTGTTGTTATAACACTGTGCTCTAATCAAGTGAGCTAACCGGCCAGCTCCTTTGTATCATCTTTTATTCTATTTTTTCATGAACTTTTTAAAGTACCCTCATATATTTTCAGGAATCTCTATATGAAAAATTGGCATATCAAGTCAGTGGTGAAAAGGTGCACTATTTGGTAAATGGTGATGGACCAATGAGACCTAATCTGGAAAGAAAGTTAGAGACATGCTTCACACCATATATCAGGATAAATTCCATATGGATGAAAATGTTAAATGAAAAAAATGAATTAATAAAATTAGCAAAACAAAATATGGAAGAATTCCTTTAGTTCTTTGGAATTGGGAAGGCCTTAATAACTGACTCATTAAAAAAAAACCAATAAGGAGAAAATTAAATTTAAATACTTTAAAAATAATTTTCTACATGACTAAAATCAAAAACAGAACAAAACAAAACCTCTATAGCAGACTCAAAATATTCCTGGAAAAAGGTTTTCAAATTACTATCCAAAATAGGGACTGATATTGCTAATACATAAAATTCCTAGAAATCAATAAGAAAATGGCCATCCAACTGAAAAATGGTGTAAAAATGGAAATAGGCAGTTTGCTTAAAAGGCAACATCATTGGTACCAAGACAAATGCAGCTTAAAACTAGAAACTAAGATTCTGTTCTTTTACTTATCAGATTGGCAAAAATTCAAAGGCTCAAATGCACTCTGTTGATAAGGCTATAGGGAAACAGACACTCTTGTATTGCTGGTGAGAGGTTAGTTAGTCCAGGATTTATGGCAGACAATTTGGCAATATTTGCCAAAATTACTAATGCTTACATCCTTTGACTGAACAATTTTATCTTTATGAATTATCCCACAGATATATTTATACATATGCAAAACATAGTGTGTACAAGATTATTTATTGTAGTATTGTTTTTAATAGTATAATGTTGGAAACGACTCAAGCGCGCACCATTAGCAGCCTGCTTCCATAACATGGGCTATGTACATACAATACAGTCATAAAAAAGATAAGGAAACTCTATGTATGAATGTAGAAAGATTTCTTATATGAATAAATGCAACTTGTAAAAGGTGTATATGCAAAAAGAGGAGAAAAATAAAACTATATGGTCATATTTGCTTATCTATACAGACAGGAACTGGAGAATACATGACTAGTAATGATGGTCACCTGTGGGAATTAGCTAGGGCAAGAAGTGGGCAGATGTTGGACAAGGATGGGAGGGAGACTTTTTGTAAGTTACATAATTATATATGTCACATAATTATATATACATTATTTATATGGCATTTAAACAATGTGACTGTTTTACTTATTTTTAGATAACACCACAGTTTTCTTTGAACGTTGCTCTTCTTTTTTGTTTTCCAAGACGACATGGTAAGGTCAAAGACAGTGATGAAGAGAATGACCCAGATGATGAAGATGCTGTTGCTAATGCAGTGGGATGTCTTGGACCTTTCAGTGGGCTCCTGGCACCTGAACTGCAGAAGTACCAAAAGCAAATTAAAGGTAAAGAAGTGGCTCTTGATTTAGATGTGTTGGTTCAATATAACAAGGGTATTATTGTGTCCTGTAGATGCCTCAGTCATTTCCTGAACTGGTTTCCACTATTAAAAATCTCTGTTAGAATATCTTCTCTGTTACTTTATCATTTAGTAGGATCTTTCTGTATTAAGTGTTGCATGCAAAATACACGTTTCTTTTTCCTTATGGTGACTTTTTTTTTTTTTTTTTTTGTCTTTTGTCTTTTTCCGTGTCCGGCAACGGATCGCAACCCTCAGTGTTGCCCCCGCACCGGACCGGGGACCGGCAACGGGATCGCAACCCTCGGTGTTGCTCCCGTGCCTCGCTCAGCCAGTGAGTGGGAACCGGTCTGCATGTGGGATCCGAACCCTCGGGTGGGAGCGCCGCCGCGCCTCCCAAGCGGCGCACTTATCCAGTGCGCCACCGGGCCGGCCCGTCCTTATGGTGGCTTTTTTTTTTTTTTTTTGTCTTTTGTCTTTTTCCGTGTCCGGCAACGGATCGCAACCCTCAGTGTTGCCCCCGCACCGGACCGGGGACCGGCAACGGGATCGCAACCCTCGGTGTTGCTCCCGTGCCTCGCTCAGCCAGTGAGTGGGAACCGGTCTGCATGTGGGATCCGAACCCTCGGGTGGGAGCGCCGCCGCGCCTCCCAAGCGGCGCACTTATCCAGTGCGCCACCGGGCCGGCCCGTCCTTATGGTGACTTTTACTTCCCATTCATCTGATTCAATTTTGTATGCTTAGTTCCTTAGCACAGAGCCTGGCATACAGTAGAGGATTAATGCATTCTGTTGGAGTTTCATTGAATTCGTTATGGACTGACTTCTCTTCCACTGTAGGATTACCCTTTAAGTTTCATTTGTTTGCTTTTTTGGCAGCTGGCCGGCATGGGGATCCGAATGCTTGACCTTGATGTTAGCAACACTGCTCTGACCAACTGAGCTAACTGGCCAGGCTTAGGATTACCCTTTAAATCCATAACATTAAGGTAGCCTCTATTTGAATTTCTGGAGTGACAAGAAACTCATTATTTCACAAGAGTCTTTGTTAGATTTTTCTCCTTAGCCCATGGTTTCTCGTTGTGAAGAGACAGCAGTTCTCCTGATAGTTCTTTCCATTGGAACAAACAGAACAAGTCTGTCCCCTCTTCTGCCTGACATCTCTTCAAATCTTGGAGGACAGCTATTATGTCCCTCAAAGCTTTCTTTGAGGCCCAAGTTCAGAATTTCTTTAAGCATCTCTCAAAAGATGTTACTTCCAGAACTTTTAATATTCTATTAATTCACCTCTAGATGTCCTGTAATTTGGTAATGTCCCTCTTAAAATGTGGAGCTCTGAACCAAATGCCATGCTTTATTTGTTTATTTTCTGCACAAAGTAGACTTCCTGTGGTCTGGATGTTGTTGATGTAATAAACTTTCTGAAGCGGTTTGTAGTTCCACCACTATGTCCTTTCACATCTTGGGTGGCAGCTCTTCCTTTAGTATATTTATTCTACTCCTTTTAGTTTGAAGGTTGTTCTCTTTGTCTACAGGATAGAAACATGCTGAAAGAGGATGGAAACAAGGTGGACGTCAGGCACCTCGACTTTCTCTTTTCTGTCCTATAATTTTATACTACCTTCTTGAAGTTATGGGGCCTTCCTCCTTTTTTTTTTTTGTTTGTGTTTAGAAGGTGGTGGGGTGGTGATGGAGGTGGCTGCTGCTGCTCTTTTTTTGGTTATCGTAGTTTTGAATATTTTTCCCGAGCCTCAGCTTGTTTTGAGTGTTAACCTGCTTAATGGCTGGGTTCACATTGCTTTGTGTACGTGTCCTTGATCTGGGCTCTTCTCTCATCTTTTTAAATGGCTTTTAAAAATGTCAACCCAGCAAGAGCCTCTTGATTTCTGAGAGCCCTACACCTCCTTTCTTGTTGCCTGAATTTCAGCTTTTGATTTCTAGCCGTGGGATTAAGAGGTATTTTAATCCTAAATTTTTTTGAATCTGCATTTTTGTAGTTTGAGTTTATGTTTCATTTTTTCTATTTTTCCTTCTGTGCAATTATGTGCTCCAGGATGACATGATTACTTTCTAAATTTCATCATTAGTCTTTCTTATTGATTTGTCAGATTAACAGTTTCCCTTTTAATTTTCTTCTTAGAGAAGTGATTTCAGTGAAAGAATGATGTAAATTTATGAGATGTTCAGCCTTTACCCGCATAACATTCTCAGCAGATGTTAGGACAGTTGAAATCAGTCTTTTTTTTTTAGCTGGTTCCTAGGTCAGTTTTACATATTGTGCCAGAGGAGCCTTGTTCTCTCCTATCTTGGCCTGTGCAGTCTGTGAGTATCCTCTCACCACAGTAATTGTTTCTCTTTCTTGAATGCAATATCAATTTTATTTAAGGGACAAATCTGCTAATTGTAGGTTTCACAGGAGCCGAAACCACATCTAGACATAACAGCATAGTAGACAGGAAGTATTTGCTAAATGAAAAAAAAAAAGCCCACATTCATCTTTAGTGATACAGTGGTCCATAATTTCGATAATTTTATAAAGCATGTTACTATTTTTTTTTTTTCCTTTTTGTCTTTTTTTCGTGTCCGGCAACGGACCGCAACCCTCAGTGTCACGCCCGTACCGGACCGGGACCGGCACCGGGATCGCAACCCTCGGTGCTGCGCCCGCCCCTCGCTCAGCCAGTGAGTGGGAACCGGTCTGTATGTGGGATCCGAACCCTCGGCAGGAGGGCCGCCGCACTCCTAAGCAGCGCACTGTAGCAGTGCGCCACCAGGCTGGCCCAGCATGTTACTATTTTTAACTTAAGAAAAACATACTTTTAATAACTGTTTAAACTCTACAAACTATCAATCCCTTATAAGTCTCTGTGTAGCTGGAAATCTGTACAATGATTTTAGACACCTGGAGTTATCTTTTTGTAAGGGAATTTTACAAAACAGTATTGATTTTTGTGTGGAAGCAGTTGATCTCTTGTCTGTATAATGAACAAAGTAGTAACAAAATCAAACACTGAACCTCCCCTCTCCAAGCTCATTTCAGACTCACAGTTAGGCTAATAAGAAAATGCAGAGCTATTTTCAGGAACAAACCCAAACAAGCACCAGACAAATTCCAGAATACATTTTTTGTGGTTTAGAATTTCCTGGAGGTTAAGACACTACACCGGTTTAGAGTGTAATCAACTCCCATTTAATCCTGTTCCCCTCCACTCACCAGCTCCATGTGTTTTGTCCCTTGGGTACAGAGCCAAATGAGGAGCAGAGTCTGAGATCGAATAACATTGCAGAGCTGAGTCCAGGAGCAATCAATTCCTGCCGGAGTGAGTACCACGCAGCCTTTAACAGCATGATGATGGAACGCATGAGCACGGATATCAGCGCACTGAAGCGACAGTACTCGCGCATCAAAAAAAAGCAACAGCAGCAGGTCCATCAGGTGTACATCAGGGCAGGTAATGCGATTCTTTGTTTGAATCAATTCCAACTCTATCTCAACATGTGCAATGAAGAACAGATGATCCTAGGATGGCCTCGGAATTACTGACTGTAGCTCAGCATCCATAAACACAGCTGGCATGAGGTAATAATAGCAGGCTTAGCATCTCATTTTTTTATTTTTATTTTATCAGGCTCTAAAGGAGGAAAAGACCATGAGTTTTTAGGTCCCAAGGACCAGGCAATTGAGGGTATTAACCACGTCTTTACTGTGTGTCCTTGTGGGTTTACAAATGATTAAAATGCTGCAAAGCTATGCAATCCTTGGACTTGGGAAATTTTGAAGCTATTGCTGCATGAATTTTGTGCATTTGAAAATAGAATTTAGTCATCTGTGCACTAGTAAGTTATTTACTAGTCATTTAGGTAGTAATGTAACAGATGTTGTGATCAGAGAAAATGGAAAAAACCATTAAAAAGCCTGTGCCTCGCTGATGGGTTAGCAGTATCTTGGGAGTGTACCAGGAACAACACAATTATAATGCAGTTGGAAATGTTCTTTTCCAAGGATTGTTAAGCTTCTCTTTTCTGATTCTAAAAATCTCAGTGAACAATCCGCTTTATTGTTTAATATGTGCTGATTTGGGAGTTGGTTTTTCTTGCTCTAAGTGAACATCCTAACGAAAATGATGCCTGTTGAAAATTAACCGAGACACAAATTTTGATGTGTTTTCAGTGGCTTGTGAGCATGTGACTGATCTTGCACAAAAACTGAATTCACCTTTTGCTTATAAGGGAGGAATAGGCAACTTCTTGAAGTTTCTTACTTTATTCTGAATCCTTAAGAAAGCAATCACAAAAGAAACTAACAGTTTAATTTTCAAAACATTGATATGTACAGTTTCCTCATTTTGTCCTCAAAACAAATCTGTGAGGAAGGGGAGGACAGATAGTCTTATCATATTTTAAATGCGGAGGAAATGGTGATTCTGGAAGGCTTAGCAATTGTGTAGGGTTAGACAGCTATAGTGAGTGGTCAGGCCAGGGCTAGAACCTTGGTGTCTGATTCTTTGTGTAGTCCTTTTTCAAATACCCTGTACAGATCTTTGGGAGGAATGGTAGACAGTTTCCACTGGGTACTAAGTTGGCCCGTGGCTTATAGTGTAGTCAGGGGTCAGTAAGTTGTCTGCTTTTGTAAATAAACCTTTATTGGAATGCAGGCATACCCATTTGTTTACATGTCGTCTAAGGCTGCTTTCACAGTACAATGGCTAAAATATAAGGGCTGGCTGGCTAGCTCAGTTGGTTAGAGTGTGGTGTGGATAACACCAAGGTCAAGGGTTCGGATCCCTGTACTGGCCAGCTGCGCACACACACACACACACACACACACACACACACACACACACTCTCTCTCTCTCTCTCTCTTTCTCTCTCTCTCTCTCTCTCTCTCTCTCACCCACCATCTGGGTGTTTATAGGAAAAGTTTGCCAACTCCTGTTCTGAATTATGGTTTATGTGGTTTTCTTTAAGTGACAGATTGTTGCAGGCAAAGTTCTTTTATTTTCTTTTTTTTAAAACCATTTTATTTTTTTATTTAATTTTTTTATTGATTATGCTTATTCATGGAGTACAAAGCTGACCGTCACCACCTGTGCCCAAGATGCGATGATCAGATCAATACTATTGGCATGCCCCTTACCACAAATTGCAGTTATTCCCTGTGTTCCCCTACAATTACTCCCTGACCTCCATTTCCCTCCCCCACTTCAACCCCAGCAACCCTAGGTGTGCTTTCTCTGCCTCTGCAAGTCCAGCACACCACTGTGGTCTTTCTTTCCTTCCTTCTTTCTCTCTTCTCTCCCACTTATGACTGAGGACATGTGGTATTTTTCCCTCTGTGCTTGGCTTATTTCCCTTATGGGTTCTCAAGCTTTAGTGTGCATATAAATCACTTGGAGATCTGCTAAGATGCTGAATCCATTTCACAGGGTTTGGGGTGAGGCTGAGATGGTGCATTTCCTACAAGCTCCTTGGTGATGCTGGTGCTGCTGGGTGGGGGAACCACACATTGAGTCGCAGGGTTTTAGGGGAGATAGTGGGGATAGGATTAGTGGCACAGGCAGAGAGATTGAACTTGAACTAGAGACAAAAGACCTCAGCTTCTGAGACTTAATGGAACGTGTTGAGGATGGTTGGGGTAGCAGCATCCTAGGTTAGGGAGGACGGGACGTTGAGGCCTTTCAGACCTGATAGCTTCTGTTTTCATGGAGAAATTGGGAGAAAAGTTACTTGCTAGGAGTAAGTTGGGGGTTGGGAGTAAGTGGGAGTTTAAAGAAAGTAATGAATATTTGGATGCATCATTGAAAGGAATGGGAGAGGGAAAGGATACGATTGTTCAGTGGCACTGAGGATCCAGCAAAATCGGAAGTCATGAATTTGAAAGGCTCGGTTGCAGAAAAGAAAGTGTGGACTGTGGATCCAGGGTTGGGGTTCTGCCAGGACTGTGTGACAGAGGAATAGGGACGTAGAATGTGTAGTTATTGATGAGGAAGTGGTCTAAGTGATCAGCCATGCCTCTAGCTAGGGTAGGGGTGTAAGTGAACTGAAGATAGTCAAGAAGCTGTGAGAAGATTGAGGGATCAAGGAACCGGAAGTCTGTATGGATCAGTACCAGGGATAGTTAGATTGAGAGCCTGAGAGCTAGAAGAGGCAGAGGGGGGAACATTAAAGGTAGATATTTTCCACATAAGGTAGAGCTGGTGATAAGGTTTAGGATGGAACTGGGGAGGCTGAGGGACTATGAGAATAGGTAGTAGATGGGCGAGTCTCAGAGAGTAAAATAACTGAGGGAGCGAGGTGGTATGACATGGGCTGAAGAGGAGACAGGAGCTAAATTCGTCGGTAAAGACTGGGGTGTGCCCAGAGTTAGATGAAGCAGTAGAGAAGGCCGGAAGGAAGTTCTGCCAAATGACATGGACGTCAAGGAGGAAGGACATCACACAGAGATGGAGGGAATCTCTGTCTGCTACTTCTGCCTGTTGCTGTCACCCTGGGGCTGTGTATATTTAATGCTGCATCAGAAACAGGGGCCTGGTCATGGCTACAGGAGGAGGATGGTAATACCACCCACAGTGCCCTCCAGGAGAACAAAGCTTTTGGTGCTTTCCACTTTTCAATTGGCTTTCAAAATCCACGGAGGACACTGGAGTGGTTTGTCCTACCTGGGGCCAAACACTGGATAGCTGTGATTTCACTGCATTTTTACTACTTTCTTATCGCTTCTCTCATTCTATCATCTCTCACTCCATAATATGCAGTGTGTTCTTTCCCTACCTCGCAGAAGCTGACAGCTGATAATCCACATGGTCATAATGTTTGTCACATGATTTTAAAACGTCTTCACAGATTTTCTACATACGAGACCTCTGAGGTTGCTACTCAGAGACAAAAGCTCTCCGTGAAAAGCATTAAGGAGTCCAGGCTCTAATTAGTAAGGGGGCGTCAGAGTCCCTGCTCCTTTTTGTGTCTTCAGCCTGTAATATTGTCCTCTCTGAAGAGGAGGAAATTGGTACCCCAGGCTCTAGGGCTGAATTCAGTTTTGGCTGCCTGCAGTCACATGACTCTGCCAATACCTGGGAAATGCGTACATGGGAGAGGCTGTGGGGGTGCTCCGTGTGATTTCTGTTCTGTGATGGCTGCGTTTCTTTGGTACGTTTCACACAACCTTTCAACATTTCTTTCAGACAAAGGGCCGGCAACCAGCATCCTCCCGTCTCAGGTAAACAATTCTCCAGTTATAAACCACCTTCTTTTAGGAAAGAAGATGAAAATGACAAACAGAGCTGCCAAGAATGCTGTCATCCACATCCCTGGTCACACAGGAGGCAGAATATCTCCTGTCCCCTATGAAGACCTTAAGACGAAGCTCAACTCTCCGTGGAGGACTCACATCCGAGTCCACAAAAAGAACATGCCGAGGACCAAGAGTCATCCTGGCTGTGGGGACACCATAGGGCTGATAGAAGAGCAGAACGAGAGCAAGACCAGCCCTCCGGGGGCAGCAGAGCAGTTTTCCTCCAGTTGCGCAGCGACCACTAGAAGAGAAGGCAGCGGCGGGAGGACAATTGAAGGGCAGTCTCCGGAGCCAGTGTTTGGAGATGCTGATGTGGATGTGGCTGCGGTGCAGGTGAAGTTAGAAGTCTTGGAACTGAACCAGAGGGATGCCACCGCCGAATCTGAGCCCAAGGTGCACCCACCCTGCCAGCAGCTTCTCCCAGAGCCACCTGATGTACCTGGAGAAAACAAAGCCACCAGCAAACCTACCCAGGGTAGCAACTCAAAAACCCCCCTCTTTAGCCCTTTTCCCAGTGTCAAGCCACTGCGGAAATCAGCCACTGCCAGGAATTTGGGATTATATGGTCCCACAGAAAGAACACCAACTGTGCACTTTCCTCAAATGAGCAGGAGCTTCAGCAAATCTGGCAGTGGAAACAGTGGCACTAAGAAACGATGATGTCGCCTTGAAACTTTGTGTCTAGACTCAGCTTTTCCTGGCAGTATAAGGGTTCCAGCTGAAAGGCTCCAAAAGTTTTATTTGTCCAATTAAAACGAAAAGATAGGTTCAGAGATGAGCAACAAAGGTGGGAATTAGAAGTTTTATAATGAAAGCTAGAATAGGGATGTTTTCCCATCCACTTGATAACTGATGAAGTGATTTCTTGTGGCAAAATAAATATTGTGGATTTAAAGTGTGAAATTTTCACAAGTTTTTCATTGTGAACTGTATGTCTAAAGGGCCGTCCTGTTCTGAGGGCCATCAGGGTCCCTGTGACAGCACCCCCAAACCTTCCGGTTCTCTGGGTGTTTCTTATATTCAAGCATGCACACATCAGCTCGCTACAACAGAAACTATAACAGAAAAGTAAGTTTCTTTGTTGCAAAAAAACTTCCCAGTTTTCCTCTTCTTGCTCTATTGGGGGGATTGTTTTTGTGTGTTTCTTTCAGTACAAGTCTCTAAATTATTTTTTATTATGCTAAAACATAGGAGAAAAACCTAGATAACTTTTCTTTAATGTTCTATTTCTACCTGCAAAATGAAGAAAACCTTTAACCTGTTAAAGTTTAAGTTGGTAACCAACTTGACGATCTTATGCAGAGAACACAAATGGGATATGCATTAAGCAGTTGCTCTGAACAGCTTGCTATTTCCACCAAGCTTTTCCCGAGGTTTCTTCTCTCCTCTTAAGGAGAGCTTGGGTCCTCCGTGGTACAGGTGACTCGGGCTCCCCATGGAGCGCCTCCTGCCTCCTCTGCCATGCCACTCATTTAGCCACCACCAGCTCTCCACTGCAGACGCACCAGGCTTCTCAGAAGCCAGAACCCAGCACCTGCAACTCTCTTACTTGAATTTTGTGCTTTTTTCATTAGAGCACTTTGTTGAGTACTTTGTTACTTGAACACTGACTTTCTCCAGAAAAGGCTCCCAGTGCTTTCTAGCTCTATCTCATCCATTTCTGCTCTGGTCCCAGCGGGTCAGAGATAGCAGCTCTTGTCTCCACTATGCAGATGGGAACTCTGAGCCACGCAGAGGTGAAGTAGTACTTCAGTTACTCCAAGTAAAAACTGCTGTTATTGCACCTGACTTAGACACATTTCCTCCAGTGCAATAGGCAGGTTTAATGTTCTTTGTACACAGATGCATTGGCTACATAGACTGTAAACACCTAGACTGGGAAGCCATTCACTACACTCCCTCCTGACTCAAAGGACCCTTCTCCAGATGGTAGAGTCCTGTGAGGTCGTTTCACAAAACCAGACTTGAGCTCCTTATCCTGAAAATGTAGCTCATTTTAAAAATGCTCCATGCACCTCTCATTTGGCTGAACAAAAGTCTCACTCCTCAAACCTCTTCTCCCCACCATCTTTAGATGAATAGACTCAGCATCTTTATCTTTATCTCTGGAAGACCTTGGCTATGCTTGCAGGAATATTGATGCCGTCAATATTAACTTAAGTTAATTGGATTGCTAATTCTGAACCAAAACTATAGTTTTAGAGAGGGCTTTTACTATGATACTAATTTTTAAAATAAAATAGAGAATGTGGTTATGTGGATTTTTTTTTGTGAATAGAAAACACAAGAGTGACATGTAGAGTGAGAAAAGCCATTTTATCCCCATTCGTGGTATTTTTACCTCCAATGGAAGTGAAGATGGGAAATATGACTAATAAGCCATCGCAGTTTGGGTGTTGGTTTCTGTTCCATCTGAAGTTAGCAAGCAGCTTCTTAAAAAGCAGCACACCCATGGCCCATTTCTTGGGAAGGGTGTAGGTGGAGAGCTGGGCTTGCATACATGCCCAGAGTCGAGACCCACTGCATTTTCCAAAGTTAAGCAAATGACATGGTTTTCTTTCATCTGCTGAACTTTGCAGATAAGAATGATTCTGCCTCATATTCTTTTTTTTCTCGCCCATCCCCAAATGAATCAGAATAGTCATGTTTCCCTTGAGGGACATCTGACTGAATAAAGAATTGTTCTTTCCTCTCTTGAGTGAGCTCGCCAGCTCCTTGAGGGTCTGGAATCAGAGAGGTGGGTAATGAGGTGGAGACCGCTTACTAACTGTGCCATTGCCGTCTACCACCTGTCTCAGTGTCTGCCGGCGGCACATTGCTGTGTCCTGTAAATTTCCTCAGGGCTGGTCTTCCTGAGAAAGAGGGGGATGGCTGAGATGGCACATGGTTTGGGATACGTATTTATTGAATGAATGAATAACTGAAAGGAGAATAGTCCTTTGAGGTAAAAATGACCTTATCAGAATTTTAAAAATCCGACAGGTTCCTGTTAAAGCACTCTCTATACCAATAACGTGCATGCATTGTACCAAGTAATCACAATGTGAATTGGTTAATTTATGAGCCTTGCCTACTTTAGAAAATAAAGAATTTGAAGTAGTCTCTACCACACAGCATGCACAAAGACCAGTATGGACTTGCTATCTTCCTACGTATTGGACACTGTATGCAAACACCAGAAGTACTTAACAAGTAGCAGTTTCTTGATTTTTAGATACGTCTGTACCCTCCCAGCACTTCTGAATCATTCCAATGCCTCTGCACTTTGGTCCATTTACAAAAGCCTCCAGATCTAAACGTAGTTTGTAATGTCGACCTATGGCCTGTAACTGTTCAGAACACTGTATTCCTTTTTTTGTCTCTCTTATTGTTCTGAGGAATTGTACTGGTTACAAAGATATATGCATAAAGATTCTCATTGTTGTAACTGTTGTGCCGTTTTCTATCTGAGCGTATGCATAGAACACTGTTGTGACTTTCTCCTCCCCCTTCTCTTTTCGCTTCACCTCCCCCTGCCACCCAACTCGGTCACTCGAGTGAGGGAAACAGCCCAGTAAGGTTCATCTCCCACTGGGTTGAAGCGTGGCCTATGACCTGCCCAGAACTTGGCAGAATAGCCAGTTCCTGAATATGAGTAAGCAAGGAGTTTACTTAAGTGTATGCATGTGTTAGTGTGAGGGAGAGTGTGTAAGTATCAAATTAACCTTTAAATCTACCATTTTTCTTTGCATTAATAAAATAGAACAATAAGAATTGTATTAGTCTGGGCCGAGCCCGTGGCGCACTTGGGAGAGTGCGGTGCTGGGAGCACAGCAGCGCTCCCGCCGCAGGTTCGGATCCTATATAGGGATGACCGGTGCGCTCACAGCGCTCACTGGCTGAGTGTGGTGTGGCTGGTCTCAAAAAAAAGGACAAAAAAAAAAAAATTGTATTAGTCTGTTTCTGTTGCTTGTAAAAGAAATACCCGAAACTGGGTGGTTTGTAGGAAACAATATTTATTGCTTACAGTTTCAGGGGCTGGGAAGTCCAAAGTCCAGGGAGCACATCTGGTGAGGGCCTTGTTTGTGGTGGTGGCAGCTCTGCAGTGATGCAGGGTATCACATGGTAAAATGGCTGAGTGAGAGGGCTAAACTTCTCAGTTGCTCTCCTTATAAAGCCATCAAAACCATGCCCATTACTCCCTGAATGGATCAATTCATTCATGAGGACATAGTACTCACAATCTAATCACTTTAAAGCCCCACCTTTCAATACAGTGGAGATTACTTTCCAATAGATGAAACTCTGGGGGACACATTTAACTAAAACAAGAACGCAATTTAGCTTCATGGTCTTGAGAATTCTAGATGAATAGAGAGCTGTGATCAAGTGTATAGTTGCTGCCATCTCCCATCATAAAATCTCTCTTTACAAGGTTTCTGAGCCACTTTCTTTACTGCCAACAGCAGCTGTTTGAAGCAGCACTTAAAATATATTATTTTGCTAATTAGAAAAGCAACACATTCTATAAAATCTGGAAAACAAAGTGCACAAGGAATCATTGGTATTCTGGCTTAGATATTTCCAGTGTGTTCTTGTGTGTGTATACACACACCGTTATCTACAGAAAGTTATGTTGAGCATACTAGCTTAAGCTGTTTTTCCAGTTAATGTTCTTCTATAGCACCATTTTCAGTGACTATTATTCCATCATGTGTTCATGCCAGAATTTATATAACCAGTACCTTGTCACACAAGTGGTTTCTGACTGTAGATAGCAGTGGAGAGAGCTCCTAATACCTACATCTTTGTACACAGCCTTACTTTCTTAGGATATGTTCAGAGAGGTGGAGTTGCAGGGTCAGAAAATGTACATTTTAAAAATATATGTGTATGAAGATATATATATCTTCAAATTGCCATCCTTAAAGGCTGAACTTAGTATGCAAACCGTGAGTGAGAATGCCTGTTTTCGTACACCCTGGGAAAGGTAGCAGTTTCTCTGCCCCTCCCCCCTTTTTCTTTCTAGGACCTCCGGTGTTGAAGAGTTGATAGAAGCAGTGATAATGGGCATTCATATCTCATTCCTGACTTTAAGGGAACCATTAAGTGAGATGTTTACTGAGGTTTCTGGTAGGTACCTTTTATCAGAAATTACCTCTTATTTTTGGCTTGCTGTGAGGTTTTCTTTTCATCAACAGGTATTGAATTTTTTCAAACTCATTACATCCTTTGAGAAGGTGCTTGAGACTTGGTATCTTGAACTCAAGAAAATAGCCATTACCAGGTTTCATCAAAGAACATTAGATATTTTAGAGTTGGAAATGATAGAAGTAAAGATGTTATGTTCAAAATGTTCATTGTAGTGTTAAATTTACTAGTGGAAATTTGGAAACAATGTGAACATCTGAGAATAGGGGAAATGGTTGGGTGAATTATGGTTCATATGCAGGATGGAAATGTAATGGCCCATGAGTGTTTGGGCCATTGAAATGGGAGTTATCTATTTTCCACACCGGGCAGTTCAGATTAAAGTCAGCAACATCTGGGGTCATGGAGCCACTGGGATGCTGTTTTTGGATGGTGGCTGAAAGTGGAACCGTGTGTGTGGTTCTTCCACCTGTGCTCACTCTAATGGGTACTGAATGGGGACTGGTAGACTGTAGGTGTTGGGTCAGCTTCCATGCAGGTCCCTGCTGGCATCTCCTGTTGCCAAGTGTATTAGCTCTGGCTGCTGTAACAAAATACCATAGACTGGGTGGCTTAAACAAAAGCCATTTCTTTCTCATAGTTCTGGAGGCTGGGGAATCTGAGATTTGGTGTCTGGTGAGGGAGGACCCCCTTCCTGGTTTGCAAATGGCTGCCATCTTGCTATATCCTCACATGGTGGAGGAAGAGGGAGGGAGAGAGCAAGAACGTGCTTTTGAGAGAGTGCTCTGGTCCCTTCTCTTCCTCCTCTTGTAAGGAGGGTCCCATCATGGGGACCCTATCCTCAAGACTTCATCTAAGGCTAATTACTTCCCAAAGGCCCACCTTCTCCAAATACCTTCACTGCTCTGGTCAGACCAGTTGACATTGACCTCCTGCAAAGTCATGCTCCCTCCTGTTGTCTTCATTCCTCCAGCCCAGGCAACCTTTATCTGACTGCTCCACCCTGCACCCCATAGGATTCAAGGGTCTTTTTTTTGAAATTAAAAAACCAGAAACTTGACTGTTCCTTAATATTTTCATTTCTGCTGTAATAATTCTAGTTTTCCTTTAGACAGTGCTGATAATTGGGAAGGAGATGGATCAGTTCCTGTAAAGGGCCAACAGCTTTCTGGGAGAAAACTAGTTGATGCCTCAACCCATGAATGTCCCAATCCCTGAAGAGTCCAGGAATCTATATTAAAACAAAGCAAAGCCACGACAAAACAAAAACCCTCGGTCAACCTAACTATCGTAATGGTCTCCTCTGCGACTCATCTTGTGCTTTCCCCCACTCCACCCCTCTCTGCAGCTGTGGCTATACATTGCTGCCAGAGTGATCTTTCTAAAATGAAAAACTGATCAGGCCATCCCTCTGGTCAAAATTCTTCCATCATCCTCATTTTCTGGAGGATAAAAGCTAAAATCCCTATCATAGCATGGTCTGGCCACCTATCTTCCCCATCTGTTGCCTTCAGTGACCTGTCATCAGCTCAACCCCACCAACCGTTTGTTGAGCTCCTATTTGCTGGGCACTAGACTAGCTCCTTTACATATGCCATCTCACTTAGAACCCCGAGAAGCATATTATTACTGTATAGCCGATGATGAAAGTGAGGTGAGCAGCTATGTCCTTGACTACTGACACCTAGTTGGTAAGTAACGGAGTCTGGATCTGTCTGACACCAAGCCTGGACTTTTCTTTTGCTATGCTGTCTTACAACTTGACATATAACTTGAAATACCCTGAAGGCTCCCGAATCCCCAGCATCCCCATACCTCTGTGTTTTCATAAATCTTTGTTTGGAGTGTCTTCTTTGCTCCAGTCTGCCTGGGAAGCACCTATCCATGCTTTTAGTCTTACAACACATTAATAGGGTTAAATCCAACCTGTGCCACTTTCCAGGTGTATGATTTGAGACAAGTTACTTAACATCTGTGAACTTCAATTTCCACACCTGTACAATGAGAATAACTTCAGTCTCACAGGGTTTGTTGTGAACATCTGCTATCTTTGCTGCCTAGAATCATCTACCTTCCTTTGGCAACAATGCCCTGATTTTGCTTGGGATCCAGCCTTTCTCTACCTCTGTCCACATGCTTCTGGTGATATTGATGGCCCTGGAGCACACAGGGCCTGAGCTCAGCCACTCAGCATTCTTCCTCTTCCTGGCCATGGTGCCTGGCCCATGGATGAGCACACAGGCAAAGACACTCAACACCTGGGCTGTTGTTTTGAACTCTCAGGGAAGCAGACTCATTCATTTCTTTTTTTTTTTTTTACTTTTTGTCTTTTTTCGTGTCCGCCACGGACCGCAACCCTCAGTGTCGCGCCTGTACCGGACCAGGACCGGCAACGGGATTGCAACCCTCGGTGCTGCTCCCGCGCCTCGCTCAGCCAGTGAGCGGGAACCGGTCTGTATGTGGGATCCGAACCCTCAGCGGGAGCGCCGCCGTGCTCCCAAGCGGTGCACTATAGCAGTGTGCCACCGGGCCGGCCCAGACTCATTCTTTTCTACTGGATTTGAATCTGGAAGGAAAAAGCCCACTGTGCTGGCAGCCATCTTGTAACCATGAGGGCAAAGATTGGAGAAGAGAGTCAACACCGAGTGTGCAGAGCTGAGAAACAGGAACCAGGCCCTTTCCATGTCACGTGAGCCCTGGATCAGGCCATACCTGAAGCTACTTCATCTCTATATCATTTCCTACATTAGCTAACAACATTCCAGTTCTTGGTTTTAGCTAGTTTGGTCAGATTTTCTATCATTTATGTCAAGAAATTCTCAGTTGGAACAGATGTTGTAAAGATTACAGATTATAAAGGCAAGATAGTGGATGTATAGGGCAGTAGCCAGTGGTATTTTTACTTCACAGTGATTCAAACCTCTCCTGAGCTGCTCTTCCTCATTTTGGCTCTGTCCTCCTCATCATAATAGTATAGAGAGGTGACAGAGTCAGGGGACATGGTTCTTGTTTAATGAAGAAGGTTCTTTCCACAAGCCCTTTGGGTCTCCGTGGGCCTGTGTCTGCTCATCACAGAAAGAGAGGTGATTGTATGAACTGTCCTTTGCCGGTTTTGTCTACCACTCCAGTTCCACCTGCATTCATGCCGAGTCCTGTAGAGAACAGAATGACTGTAAGCAAAGCATGAAGAGCTGTTTCACCAAATTCCACAGAATTTGGGAGCCTACGCAGCATATTTGTGGGATGACTCTCACAGAATGTAATAGAAACAGTGGTTTTTGCTCTACCTTCTCCAGG